ATCAAGCACACTGAAGTCAAGAAGAAGGTTAGTAGTGAATACATCATGAGAGTGAAGAAGATCTTAAAGTCCAAACTCAGTAGTGGAAATACCATCAAGGCAATTAACACCTGGGCAATTCTAGTCATTAGATACAGAGCTGGAATAGTGGAATGGACTCAAGCTGAACTTGAACTTCCTTGAATAGGAAGACCAGAAAAATAATGAGAATGAATCATGCCCTTCATCCATTCAGTGATGTTGACAGACTCTACTTATCAAGCAGTATTGGTGGGCATGGAATGTTGCAAGTATACCAGACAGTTGAAGAAGAAAAAAGGGCATTGGAAGAATATTTGAAGGACAGTGAAGAAGGTGCACTGAAGCTAGTACACCATGAAGGCTTACCAAATAGTGAAGAGACCAAACTGGCCTACAAGAAAGACCAAATGAAGAATATAAAAGAGACTTGGCAAGGCAAAGTACTACATGGCCAGTACACACACACACACACACACACAAACCTAGCAGGCAAAGTAGATAACAAGACCTGGCAATAGCTAAGAGCAGGAAAGTTGAAGAAAGAGACAGAGGGGCTAATTCTGACTGCACAAGACCAAGCCTCAAAAATGGATGCATACAAAGCCACAATTGAGAAGACAGCAAGAGACAGCAAATGCCATCTATGCAAAGAAGCTGAAGAAAGAGTGAACCACGTAGTCAGCTGCTGCAAGAAAATCGTACAGACTGACTACAAATAACAGCATGACAAAGTAGCAGCAATGGTACATTGGAATATCTGCAAGAAATGCCATTTGCCAGCAAGCAAGAACTGGTGGGACCACAAAACAGACCAAGTAATAGAAAATGAAGAAGCTAAAGTGCTCTGGGACTTTATAATTCAAACAGACAAGTACCTGCCACACAACACTCCAGACTTAGCCATCGTTGATAAGAAAGACCAAAAAGTCTGGATAGTGGACATTGCAATACCTGGAAACAGCAGAATAGAAGAGAAAGAACTGGAGAAAATCACAAAATACAAAAACCTGCAAATAGAAATAGAATAACTGTAGCAAAAGAAAGCAAAGATAGTATAAATAGTAATAGGCACCTTGGATGCAATCCCAAAACATCTGGAGCGCCACCTGAAGACCATCGGCATTGACAAAATCACCATCAGTCAATTGCAAAAGGCAGCTTTACTTGGAACAGCTTACATCCTATGACGATACCTTTTAACACCATCAAATAACAACATCTGCCTATCCCAGGTCCTTGGGAAGGACTCGATAGGTGGATAAAAATGCCAAATCCAGTCTAAACAACTCGTGATTGTGCAGCCAACAATAATAATAATACCAAAACTAACCAAATCAAAATAAAACAAAACAAGAAGGGGGCTCCACAGTCACTGTGTCCTGAAGGCCTCGGAGAACCACCCAGTCTTCAATAATTTTTTGAATGACCATACAAATCTCTGGTGGGAGATCATTCCAGAGGGTTGTTTCCCTTGGGTTTCTGGTTGTTGTTCATGGAGTGTAAGATTTGAAGACTGACATTTCTACAGACAAAGACTGAGAAGAGATACCTAATTATCTAAAACCCCCACATTACTGGAAACTCTGGATGTAGCACCTCAACTGATTAGGACAACATCAGATCAGAATAAGGTCATCTCCTTTAATCAACTGTTTCTCCGGTACTAGCCAGAAGTTCGATATTGCAGACAACAGGCTTTGTTTACTGAATGCAATGCCCTGCAACATCCTTTTGTGACTCTTGGAAGCTTAGAATAGCTTTTTCAATCAGGTTCAATGCCGCTGAGTCAGCAGTTCATGAGTCTGTAATTTCAGATTGGGTCTGAATATATGACAGAAGGATGTAAACACAAATCCCTGCTCTGCAACCATCAATCCTTATTCAGGATATGAATCCAATCCCTCCTCCTACCCCTCCCTCTACCCGCCACCCCTTCAACCATCACTCACCTGCCTGCTTGCCATCTGAGAATCCCTCTTTGTCCTCCAGCCAGGTGGAATAACAGAAATATCACTTTCAGGATATAGGTTTTGATACATATTAAACCTGCCAGCAAAAAAGGAGAATCATTTCGGTAGATTATCACTCCTTGTTATCTACTGAATTTCATTTCACTTGGAGAAACTTGAGGGTAACAGGCAAAGGGAACCTGTGCCAAGATTGAACTGGCACTTAAATCTTGCTACATTCACCCCCATATTTGGGATTGTGAAATAATTTATATTTAAGATATAAATTGGTCATATGATGATTCAGATATGAGCAATGTGTGGAAAAAAGGCAGATCCCAGGCCAAAGGAGATTAAACCCTAACTCTGCTGCACTCCAGGACAAAAATAGAACAGGTTTGTTCCCTTTGAGGAACACCATCTCCTTGTTATCTTCATTATTATATCAATGCCTCTATCACTGTTCCACACATTTGCCACATATGGTCTTGTGACTATGGAATGATCCAAAAAGGAATAATCCCCATGAAACTGTTTGGCCTTTGCCCTTTACTCACCACTTCTCTTCTAAGTTCCTCATGACTAATATTTGTGCGGTGACTAGCATGGGAACAGGGACTGATGGTAACTTTGGAATCTCTTGGATGATATATTCATTGCACTGCAGCAGTTTTTCTGGATGAGAGAAAGTACATACCAGACATCTGGGTGATTGTTTTGTCCTTGAGTGACCCTGGGCCACCCTTAGTGGTCACATCATTAAAGCACTGTATCTTTCATGCAACTCTGAAAGAGCCACACTTCTTTTTTTTTTTTTTTTTTAGCCTTGTACAGAAGCCTGAAGAAGAGCTTGAAGGAATAGCAAAGAGGTGCACTTGTGCAAGATCCAAAGCACTTCTTCCCAATCTTTTTTGAAGCATTCAAAGCTCTCAGTTGGGTTCTTCTCAAATTGGCTTGGGCAAACCAGACTTGGGAGTATTTACAAGCAGCCAAAATCAGGAGGAGACCACGAGCTTTCTGCTGAGACTTTTGAAGGCAGTACTGCCCTTTCTCCCCTCTGTCTCACAGCTTCACAGGGCACCAAACAGAAGGCCCATCCGGACCAATAAGGCAGGAGCACAAGACAGGCAGAAGGTCTTGTGGCTGGCAACAAGGAGGTAAGCTTTCACAGCAAATTACCCTGGTGACTGCCTGGCCTATCTCCAGCCTTGTGAGGTAGAATGAGAGACTCGCTTGCTGCATACCAGGTGGAATAGGGCTGTGGAAGTAAGTCTGGACACATTCGTTGATCTGCAAATTCTGAATCCTGACATCCTTCTCATTTTTGATATCTTCCACAGCCAGGCAGAAAAGGAGTGGGGCTTCTGCATTGTGCATCCGGAGGAAGTGCCTGAAGTAGTCAAAATGGAGTGAGTTCTGCAGCACTTCTGAGAGAGTTCTGGAAAGGGAAGAGAGATGAGGTAGGTCAAGGGGCTGCTCTTCCATTAAGCTACTCAGAGGCTCAGTCATCACTTAATGGTGATGGCGTCCATTTAAAAACTTTATTAAACAAACAACAATAATAGCAATGACAGAATCGTGGTGCAGAAACATATTATACAACTACTGACAAACCATACAATAAAAAAAATTATTATTAATACACAGAAAAGTGTTTCCTTTCTTCCCCTTTTAGGACAGTATATCCAAAAAACATCCTCTTTACTTTAAAATCAGGTTCCTAGGCCTCATGATAAGAGTGTGGGATTCATATTAGGGGCATATGGTTTAAATTCCTTCTTTTTTGTGTGTGTGGGGGAGTGCTTTTGAGTCAGTGTTGACTCCTGGTGATTGCCTGGATAAGTCCCTGCAGTTTTCTTGGCAAGATTTTGGAAGTATTTTGCCATTGCCCCCTTCTCAAGGCTGAGAGAGAGTGACTGGCCAAGGACACCCAGCTGGCTCAGTTATAAAACTTATTGCGGAAGCTGGAGCTTCTTTGTGCCGGGCTAAACTCTCAGTGCGGAAGTAGAGCTTCAGCGATCTATATACCCACCTGATCTTCCTTCCAGGTTTCTTCTAAGGTTGTTTCTGTTTTCTTATGCACAAACTTCCTTCTTCATATAATCTATGTCTTACTTTTCTTATCAGCCCCAACACTGCTTCCTCTGGGCCATGGAGATCATGGAAGTTTGCACATTTAGCAATTTAGGAAAGATCTCTAGGTTAAACCATAATATTTGTATGACTTGTTCTGAGCTCCAAGCTCTGCTTTGCTTCTTTTGATGCAGAATCAGGGAAATCATACAATTTCATGCAAGCATGCAAGAGGCAGCACTGTTATGCATAGTCATTTCTTGCGTGCCTGGCTTCACATGGAATTGCAGACTTCCAAAGTGATACCAGATTTACAATGCAATCCTATGCATGCTTACTTGATTAAATTCAGTGGGGCTTACTCCAGGAAAAAGGATGCATAGAAGCATAGCAATAAATGCTTAAAAAGCAAGAGATGGCAAGAGATGATAGCATAATAATTTTGCAGACCACTGGCCCTGGTGCCAATATTATACCTCCCTGCATCTTTGAAAAACTGAATGAACCCACCAGAAAGTGGTGTTGATAGTGTAGAATGAGCAACTGGCAAGGACTAGACTAGACCTGACATCTTCATGAGTTACATTGCTGTAAATACTGTAATGCATTCAAAAATCTCCTTCCAGCTGCCATTTGAATTTGAAGAAAGCTCCTGTTGGTAGCAATGGAGACTTCGGTTTCAATGAAAACAACAGCTTTAGAGAAGAGATTTTAATTTGGAGTTTGTCAAAGAAAGACAGAAAAAGCTAAATTTACTCCATCCCTAATTCCCTGATCCATATTTCTTAGGATTTTTTTACAGCTACTACTTATAGAGCAAAACCTGTTTGGCTGAGAATTGGAACGAAATAGCAAGAACGTGTCCTTCTGGCTGGATGACACAAATACCTGGGCTTTGAAAGAGGTTTCCTGAGTGGCCCCTTCCTCATGAAGGAGTAACTGGATCGGGACCATTGGAGAAGCCTTTTGGGAACTGCTGGCTGAACAAACACTTCTGCAGAGAAATAACAGGACATTTCCAGGTAAGTACAATCTCGGTCTTACCTGATGGGGGGGGGGGGGGGGCTGGAAGCATCGTCTGAGAGGGAGCCATGCGCAGAAAACCTGAAGCTCATGTTAAATCCTCAAGTCACCTGGGCATCAGCAGATGTAGGTTAGGATCTGCTCACACAACAGTTAACCTCCCCCCCATAGATTAATCGGCATCATCACTGGGCCTTTGGGATGCTTCCAGCTTCCTCCTGCTGCAATTGCAGTATTTTATACTAACAGGGAATTGTCATTTTCCAGCACCAAGTGGCCTTGCAGAAGGGGCTGCATTTCCCTCTGTTGCATCATACTGGGTCGTCTGGGTGGCTCTTGAAGGGAATTCTCCTTGCTTCCCATCTCTGGCTAGACATGCCAACAAGGCAGGAGGACTGGCAGAGGACCCAAACTATGAAGCTGTAATTTCAAGAGGCAAGCCACCATTCAAGGCTGAACCCCTGCATTTTCTTTTTCTTTCTTTTATTTTATTTGAGGGGGAAGAGATGTATTTTTGAGTGTGAAAGTGAAAGCAGCTGTTCTTACCAATACCTGAGCACCGATTGGTTGAGGCATCTCCGTGTTCCCTTATTGGCTAATAACTGGCATGTTTCAAGTGGCTGTCTGTTTGCCACCAGCCCCACACACTTACAAACAACTAGACATTGCCTGTTTTCACAGCAACCTATATCGCTGACTTCATTTCAGTTGTGAAATCATGAAATTTGGGCAACAGGGTCTGAAGTGCTGGAACTCTGAAAATTTAATAGCACCAACCTTGCAGAATCTCAAGACTTCTGCAGGAGATACAGGTAGTCCTTGTTTAGCAACTGCCTCATTTAGTGACCATTTACAGTTACAACAGTGATAAAGACATAACTTTATGACCAATCCTCACTTTTATGACCTTCACAGGTCTGTAAAGCAAAGGAAAACTGAAGTAAGATCATAAGTACAGTTGTGGTTTCACTTAGTGACTGCTTCACTTAACAACTGAGTTGCTGGTCCCAATGGTGGTCACTAAATGAGGACTACCTGTACTTCATTTTTATATGCTGCAGTTTTTTTTCTATCCCCATTCTGAGATATTAAAGTTATATAAAGCCACCAGTACTCCATAATCATCTCTATTGGAAACTCCACCTCAACCATTCTATTTTCTGCCTTATTGCTTGCAAGCCAGACTAATTCCACTTGATTCCAATGTTCCAGGAACTCACTGTCTGATGGACATCTCTTGCAGAACTCCCTGAAGTTCTTACTAAGAAGTTCCACAGCCATCTTGGGGTTCAGCTGAGTCAGTTCCTCAAATGCCATGCTGCCATAATCTGTAGTTATGGGTGGGAGGAGGAGTGGGAAGAAAAAGCATGGAGATCATTAAATTTTGAACTCTTCACCCATCTTGAGTTGACTGCTCAGGATTTGTTTAAGATCTCCGGGGGAAGAAGTTACAATCCAGATGGCAGTATAGAATGAAATCGGCAGGTGATTTTGTATCTGGCTTCACGAGAGGTTCAGCCATGCATTGTAACCCCTCTGGCTCCATTCTTAAAGCACTATGGACAATTTAGCCCTATCTGAGACACAACAGGAAGCAGACGCTAATTCATCCCACCTAGCTTTGCTCTCTGAGCTGCCTAACACTGCCCCGGTTGCCAAGAACGAGCTCTTGCGGTTCCAGAGGTGAATCTCTGCAAACCTGCTCTGCTGACACTTCTGAGAGCTGGGTGAAAATCTGGCCTCCAGGGCCACAGGGAGCTTTCTTGAAAGGACTCATCAGTTGGCTATCCAGCACTCAGAATATTGGTCACTTAGATAATTCCATATGGAGGACTCCTGCCACTCCCAAAGGCAAAGCAATATATACCGGCTCCATTTTTATCTCCGTAATAGAGATTTATGTTATTTTATTTATTTGGTAACAGGAAAAAAGAGTGCCGAGGCAGTAGGAAAATATGAGTCTTTTCTGCCTAGTGCCTGTGCTCTGGAATATTCTCTCTCCAGAGATTAGGTTGGCCCTGATCCTGTTGGCTTTTTGCAAGGGGCTAAAGACTTGGTTCTGTGCTCGGGCCTGGGACCCCGAGTATGTGAAGGGTCCCGTCTCCGGCTTGTCTTAATGATTAATAATTGTTGCATTTCTCTCAGCAGCGATGTGTTTTGTATTTGTCATTTTTTAATTTTAATTTTTAATATTGCTTGCTGCCCAGAATCCCTTATTGAGATAGGCAGCTTTATAAATTGAATAAACAAAGAAACAAACAAATAATAAATAATAAATAAATAAATAAGGCAGGCTTACAAATGGAACACAAATCTTGACTGTACTGTAATTTTGTGAATGAAGCAGGGCAGCATGCAGTACAAATCTTGGCTGTATTATAACCTGTATCTCCCAGAGTTTCTGAGAGTCAGGCAGCATATACATTTAATGCATGATGATGATGATGATGATTCACAAAGTGTGCTTGTGTGTGTGTGTGTGTGTATGTGTATACATATATATAATTGGATTCCTGTATGGGGGTTGGGCTTGATGGCCAAAATGACCAGCCCAACTCTAGGATGCTATAGTTGCATGTGTATCTAAGTGAGAGAAAACATTTTGTTGCTTGTATTTTTATATTAAAATGATTCAAATTGCCTTTTCTCTAATGAGACATTGATTTTCCCCCCATGTCCCCATATTGGCCTCAGATGCAACCTATCTCTATGGGAGATTTGCCACTGAGCAATTCTCAGGGTCCTTTTAGGATAGAGATGGAAAACCATTCTAAGTACCAAGGAGGCAGAGCCACTTGACATGCTAAACCCGGGTTAACAGAACATAAGATGCTCTGCCCAGACAATAGCAGTAAAGGGCCTTAATGCAACAGCCTGTTTCACATAGCATGCTAAGACAGTGGCCGACTTCCACAACACTTCAGCCACAAATTACCCCACCCCGTTATAGCTTAACCAAGCATGTGGCATATCACAGGGAAAGTGGGGATCCATGTACCCCAGATACAATCCAAATTGCCAGCCCTGCAGAGACTCAGATCTCGCTCTCCAATTAAATGCTGTCTTTGGCTGAGCCAACGCTGTCAATTTACCCCTCGGTTGCACCATAGGCTCCAATTCCATGAAAACAGAGCCCCCCATGGCCAGGTCCTGAATGCCCAGCATTCGCCAGTGCTCTCGTGTAAGCAGCTCAAAGTCTCTCATGCCAGCTAAGGCCTGGCTCAGATGCAAGGATTCAATGATCCTTCTGATCAGCCGCAGGTTCTCAGTCTTTTCATACGGCTCTTCTGCATTTGGTTTCTTCTCTTTGCCACTCTACAGAAAACAATATAAATGTGCAAAGTACACCTGGTTATTCAAAGCAGTGAGTGTCGGATTACTGCACAATGAGCACTTGATGCAGATCCATATAGGACTTTTTTCCAACTCTGAGACTGGGCTACCAGATCTAGGCTGCAAAAATCTCTATTAGATGGTGGCCAACATAGAAAACTCTAAATATTTGCTGCCATCAAGTGATCATTGAGACTTTTTTCAGCCCAGACCTGGTAGGCCTGTTCTGAGAAGCCTGGGGGCTTTCTCATGTTCATTCTGAACCCTTCCCTTCCCAATCCTTCTATTTGCTTTCTACATCCATGTCAGTTTTTTAATCCACTGGTTTTTGTTCATCAAAGTCAGTAGTAGCCCAATAATCAGGAGTGCATGGAGGAACTGAAATATTGTTCTGATAAACCTCATTCTCTTTTGCCTTGAAGGACAACTTTTGAGTATAACTCTGGCCCGGAGCCCTAATCCAATTGAACAGCACTATCCTTGAGCTGTTCTAATGACATTTAATTGATTTTTTAAAAATGCTTGTTTCAATAGGCAATATACCCTCATGCCACATGCTATCAAGGCAAACTCCTTAACCCTGTACCTAAAATCCATTCCTGAAATCTGCTCACTCTCCTGTTCCAGGACTGTTCAGATTTTGTTTTCCTTGTGTTATATTTGAGTCCCTTACTTCTCTTTGTCCCACCTGAACTAAAGGTCTTTGTAGCTCCCTCTTACCACATAATACAGGAACATTTTGTCATCATTCTGAAGGAACTCCTCATAGAGGAAGCTGAGTATCTAAAATGAACATAAGAACATCACCTAAGTAGATAATCGTTTCAGTTTCACATTAATTAATTGTTCAGCAGTGAGAAATATTGGCCTTTTCCCTACTGTTGAATTGGTTTTCTCCTCTCATTCTTGAGTTGGCAGGAAACTGTGCCATCAGAACATTTGACGCCCCCATTGCTGATCCCTATCTTGCCTCTGTTGCTTCTGTTCCTCCTGACTTCCTTTCAAGCAATGGGTGACAAAGCCTAACAGACTTTATTTACCTTGGGGCTACTCTTGGACAGTTTTGGAATAAAAGGGGGAAATAGTACCTTAAGACAAGTTCAGCCAAGCATGACTTAAGCCAGTCTCACTCATGGGCTGGAGACAATGTTAGGCAATGTTTTAGGAACCCCGCAGAAAGAAAATGCTGCCAGAGCACATTTGTGTCATGCTAGTTACAAGCAGTGAAGCACCCTTTCTATCTGTAAGGCAAACCGTAGGTATTGCATGCATCATACCCCCAGGACCTAGCAAAGCTGCTAAAAGACTGGGTTGCTTTGCCTTGAAAAAGGATGGAGATGATGGTCTTCCCACCTTACAGATTTCCTTCTGTGCTTTCAGGACCCAGGGAATCACATGACCAGAAGGCAGGAGATTCTGCAAACTCCGGAGAGTTGTTAGTTTCAGGGGCAGGTGCCAATTGCTGCTCTGCATCAGATACAGCTCACAAATCCTTTCCCCCATCATGTGGCGCAGAAGGATGTTCCCTTCACCAAGGGAGCACAACATCATGCGCAAGAAGTCCTCCAGGTCATGCCATAGATCAAGGAGATGGACTTCTACTGCATAGTTCCGCCGCAGCAAAAACTCCCTGAAGGGGCGTCCCGCACATTTGTCGGCATTGAGCACCCAAGGAAGGAAGTCTAGGCACAGGGGAGACTTGACAAGGGTTTTCAGAGCAAGCATGGAAGGGAACTGCACCACAGGAGTGGAAGAGCGCAATTTGTTGAAGGTGCACTTGTCAGGATACTCATCCGATACAGGGGAAGAGAGGAACTCGCTTGGGCTGCTTTTGAAGCTTGGCGATTCATTCGAAGCCATCACACCCTCCAAGTCCCAGCTGTGTTCTGTGCGAGGAGGGCTGGGACTTGAGAACCTCTTTCTGGAGGAGGCCAGCTTCTTGTTCACCGGACTGCCTTTATGTGATCTGGGCTTCTGGCAGCGGCCATCTTTTTTTTTCCCTTTGTGAGAAAGGCTCCTACCTCTGATCTGATCCCAGACTTCCTTTTTGCTTTTCAAGCTGGAATAAGAGTCTGTGTCCAAGCTGCTTTCTCGGATGCTCATCGGAGGCACAGCTGACAACCTCTGCTTCTGCAGACCAGCCTGAAATAACCGGTCCTGATACTGCTGGAGCAGATGGAGGCATGTGGGCTCGTTCTCCATGCTTAATTTGCAATGAATGAAGAAGTTGGGGAGCCAGTAGCTTTCAATCTTGAACAGGGCCACTTTCTGCATCTCACTTAGGATTTCCCTCCGAGTGTGGATGTGTTGCTGGTGAAGGGGAGTCATTTTCAGAAGCGATTCTGGGAAAAGGAGAACAAATCAGAGAAAGAGGGCTCAGGGATTTCCTTGTTTATGAAGGGAGGAAAAGACTCTACCTGAGCAACTTTTAATCCCATGTTGACTTGTAGCATTCTGATGTTGGATCAGATCTGAAGAAGCCATGACAAAACCGTTACTGCCTAGGCCAGTTTCTCAATTTTGGCAACTTTAAGACGTGTGGACTTCAACTC